ACACACTCTGGAAAAAGTTTAATTTTTGTTAATATTTATTTATTTAAAATAACATAATTTTAAGATAGTAAATAGTGTGAGTACCTTAAGGTAGCTCCTTTAGCTGTAAATTATTTCACTCTAGTCTTTTATCCAGGCCATTCAGTGGAATGATGCCCATTTTAAAGGCTGCATATTTTCTCTTCTGCCGTCATAGATTTTAACTAATGATCATAAAATGTAAGACTAAGCTTGCTGGATACTCTCAGTATTATTACATATGATAATAGCAACTACAGGTACACACTGCTACAGTTCAGACTGCTACCACCCCATAGAAGAAAACTTAGCCATGCCTTTCAACAGGACGACAAGATTTTGATATGCATTTGATGCAGTAACTACATACATTTTGTACAATGTGCTAAAAGAACCCGCAAATTATTTTGTGAAGACAGTACAGTATTTAATGATGATCTATATGGAATATAGATATAAATATAGATGCTTGCTGCTATTTCTCTCACTTCCTGTGATACTTTCCAGGAACGGATTGCTTTCTTCTCTACAACTGCCTTTTCATTTTCTTTTTTTAAAATAGACCCATAATGTTCAGGGGAAATATCAAGAATAATAAATCCCCAATCTCTGTATAAAATATACCTTCATGATATGACACACTCAAGCTCGAAATCACAGGAACCAATAAAAATGCAGGCAGCCTACTGATAATGAGGTCAGAAATACAAATAAATTTACTTTTAATGAAGACTGGAAGCACAGTAATCAAAGTGTTAAAATTCATTTCATGCATATCTTATTTGCTTCTTAGCTGATATTTACCACGCAATTCTGTGAGAAAGTAGAGGCCTAAGATGCTCCAGATAAATGGCTCAATTAATTGTACAGAGGTAGACCTCTTTGAGCCAAGCCAGAGCTGTGAGCTCTTTATTAAAAGCACTATTCTGTAGCCCTAACCTTGTTCCTTGACTCCTCTCTGGTTTCCAATTTAAACAAGTCCCCATGCGGCCTGCTCTAAAGGGCTTTGTCTCCCTGTCATTGTTATGAGCGCTGAGGCATCCTGGAAGTGTGAAATCAGACCTCATGAGTTGAACGGTTCCCCAGGGAACGCAGGACTGCGCAGAAGGTCAAAGTCATGGGCCGGACCGTCTAGAAGTGTCTGATCGCCGGTGTGTGACACAGCAGGTTGGGGGTGGGGGCTAGACTGAAGAGGACTGAAATTGAACACATCTTAATTAAAGCCCATAGACAGCAAAACAAAATGTTTTCTAGGCAGCCTGTCAAATGGGGCTTAAATTTAGCTCCGCTAATGAATCTGAGCTGCTCACTGTTATTTTGTAAGATAATAAGATTCTCGTCACAGAAGCTGATAAAAAAAAGCAAAACAAAACAAAACTGTAGCATGTCTTTTTCTGCTGTTTTGTTACTTAAATATTTTTAAACAATGACGACAGTTTTCCCAAAGGACAACATGGAAAAAGTCTATGCAAATGAAGGGGGACCAAACATTTCTCTTTAATAACTAGTGGCCTTCTAGACTACTGGGTCGACATGCTTTATTCATAACTTACTTTGGGGGGAAATAGATATTTTGTGGGACAATTTCAGTGACTATTAATCATTAATCCCTCTTCTCTTCTCCCCTTCTCTTCCTATAGGACATGGGACATTCATTTGCAAAACCAGTTCACCTGGGATAGGACCTTTTAACATGGGACAAGGCAGCATATCTTTGGAAGGTCTAGCAGCTCTTCCCTGTCAGCGTTTCTGAGAGGCTGGTCTCCCTGGACAGGGCAGGACCTCCTTCTCAGGGGGAAAGCAACAAAGAAACAAAAAACTCCACAGCCCTGGGGAAAAGAGAATGAGGGGCTGAGGATGACTCAAAAACTGGAGGAAAGTGGGAGGGGGGGGGCCCTAGGAGGAGAGAACACTCTTCTTTCTTTCACAACTTGAAAGAACCCGTCTCCCAGGTTTAAATACTCTGCTGAGAAAGTCTCACTCAATACAGAAGACTTGAAATGCTCTGTTACACGCCAAAATTAGGCCCTACTTAAGGACAAAGAGTAGTCAGGAGCAAGAAAAAGACAAAACCTGCACCCCTCCCCCACTCTCACACACACGCCCTGATTGGTTTTTCTGGTCTCACAATCTGGCCAGTTTTAGGGAGCATGTGATTTCATGTTGGAAAGAATTTCCTCCAGTGAACAGGACCAAGCCTCTAGCCTTTGCTTTGACTGTACAGGGAAGCAGTAGCCTCTTACTGGGTAGTGAAGGGGAGTGAGCGGTACTTAAAAGGATTTTTCACTTACTCAAACTTTTTCACGTAGAAGAATTTAGTACGCCAAGGCTCCAAACCGCAGCGCCACTTTCTCAGGCTGTGAAAGGCTGTCCACAATTTGCCTGAAATTTCAGTCCACTCTTGTGCTGTGCTCAATGTGCTCATATGTGTGGGAGTTGTAAATGGAGGCCTTAACCACCAGAGTTAATCTCTTTTAAAAATCTGTATTAACCTTAATGATTTGAAGTGCACTGTCCAACACTGGGCTATTGAGACTGAAGAAAAAACCACCCTTGACTATCAATAGTTTATTAGGGGCTTAGCTGAAGTGACCTACTGTAGTAGTGTTCAGCTGAACAAGGCTATAGGCTTTTTGTGGGAAGGAAAAGAATTGAGGGTTTCATTAAAAAGTAATTTGTGCTTTACACTCACTCATTCAAAGAGAGTCTCAATTGCTCTTTATTCTCACAGAGTTAATACAGTATTACAATGTTTCCCAATGAATGTGTTGTAACAAAAGAAAAATTTTACATTTTGAAAGGAAAAAATTCTTTGTGACTGCAGTAAGATTGATGGCGACTTAAAGATTTTTTTCTCCTGTGCTCATTAATGTTGGAATATTAATTAAAAATTGTGTTTAAGTGACTTATGTTATAATGATCAAAAACATCTTAAAATATATGAAAGTTGGTCAGGTATTAGTTTGTCTTGTCAGAGTTCTGTAGGAAAGAAGTTATTCTGAAGCCAAATATCATCTAACTAGAGCTTCATTTGTCCCAGTTCAGAAAGTATGTCTGGCTTAGCAACGAGAAAGTTAGTCATGATTTTAAAATTGCCTTTCCCCAGCCACAAGCTTCTAGATGAGTGATTCTCAACCTGTGGATCACTACCTTTTTGGCAGACTTCTATCTCCAAAAATATTCACATTACAATTCATAACAGTGCAAAAATATATTTAAGAAGTAGCAACAAGAGTAATGTTATGGTTGGGATCACCATAGCAATGTAACTGTGTTAAAGGGTCTCCACATTAGGAAAGGTGGGAACCACAGCTCTGGGAGTGTGCGTAACTGCAGACTTGAAGACAGAACGACCCACTCAGTCCCTCGTCTTTCTACTTTGGTTTCTCTTTGGGCAGAGCTTCACTGTCATTAACCATTAAGACAGACGCCAACTTTTCAAAGTTCTGTGGAGATGAATCCAAGGAAAGCACATGAAGAGCTTGTTTGTGCCCTAAATTGTTTATATTTTCATAAGCAATATTACTTTTTAAATTAATAGTATATTTAGACATTTCTGACTTAAACACATGGCCTGTAATTTTTGCCACCATCACAAATGTCATAAAAACCACAGAAGGTCCAAGGGTGAGCAAGGTCAAAGACAGAATTATCCACTTGGCCCTGAATAGTTCAACATCTCTCTTGTTCAGTCCCGAGCCCATTAGATTATAAGGTCAGCATGGCATGAGGAATCATTAGATTTATATCCATAAAACTGAAGGGGAAAATTGAGATTCAGTTATTCAGGATTCCCCAAATTAATGTTCACTCTATCAAATAAAAATTATATATCATTGAATCTCCACCAGAAAGGCTATTGTTATTCACGCTGATTTACATAGAGCCATTAGGAAAGAAATATCTCTATTTTTTTCAACTTTGAAAGAACATGTACTTTAACTTCCATAGTGGCACACAGGCCAAGTAGGTTAAACTTGTTTGCATATTCATGAAGTTTTAAAGTCGATGACAGCTTCTTGCTGAAAGGAGACAAACTTATATAGCTGCATTCAGCCTGAATAATGGCAGGTAGCTAAGCGTTTGAAATAACAGGTATGTAAATTTTTCTGTAAGAAATTATTGTGCCCAGGTTGAGTCACTGATAACTATATGAGAACCAAGTTCTTAAGAAAGAAAATGCATAAACTCACCATTCACAGGTTTTTTTTTAAACCACCAAATGCTAAGGAATCTCATCCTCAAAGATTACAGCTACCCCTAGCCCCACTATTCTCAAGTATCCACATATACTTTTAAAATGCCAATGTCTTCAGTTACAAATAAGCTAAAAATTATCTTTTACAAGAAATTATAAATCCCTAACATTTTTGTATCTGTTACATATTATACTCACTTTGCTGATATACAAATATGAAAATTTTAAATATTGCTATTTTGGAGCAAACATCTGCTATTTGATTTTGAAGAGAATTATCTTTTAATCTGCGTTCAGTTCTGCTGCATGAATTAAAGAAGAATACAGTGATTTGCTGACCACTGAATGGTAAGAAAAGGATAGTAGTTTATTCAAGTATGTCTGCAACTTTATCAGGGCAATCTTGCTTAACATTTAGAATAATATGTTTGTTTCCACAAATAATAAGAAAATTTTCCCAGCACAGTGATTTCCAGGAAACTGGCAAGTCAGCCCTAGCATGCCAACCAATTTTAGATAGACAATTCAACATGTGGGCATGACCATCTTTCAGATCTCTATGGAATTAAATGACAAAAAAATGGTCATGGCTCCAAACAAAATAATTAATTAGCTCTGTAGCTTGATGATATAAACATCATTATCTCACTTTTAATATGTTGAATAAACAGCAATACTAAAACTATGGACTCATTTGCTGTGTTTACATTTCTGTGTTCTGGGTAAAAAGTAATGTTATACCTAGCACATACATACATGATAGGGGAATTTCACCAGTTCCTACCTGTGACATCAGCAGCCATCAAACCTTCAGCTCTGATGACTTTCACCTGCAGAAATCCCACGTCTTTTATGTTGTTAAATATCCTCAGTGGGCTCTGGAAAACCCAAACATGGCATTAGGAAAAGAAACCTAAGGAAGCCTCAAAAATATGCTTAGAAAACACTACATTTTCTCAGAATACTTTCTTAGAGGGTCAAAGGGTTATTTGTGCTTTTCCAATACCGATTATATTTCCTCTATCAGGAGTAAATAGAAACGCATGTGCGCGTGAGCATATCCACACACATGTACACACATACATAACTACTAATCAGTGATTTTCTGGGGTCAAAATAACAGTTACTGATGATTAGCCACACTCGGTAGATGGTGAGCAATGGGCTGCAAAGCAGCTGTCCCCATGGCTTCTCTTAGTGTCTTCTACTAAAGGACCTCACAAATATTTCATTGGTAAATATGATAGTTTGAAGATGATAATGAATAATATTAACTCCTGCATGATTGCTTACATAACACTCCTCAGACAGGGTAAGTTATTGAGAAAGTCAACACTAACAAATTATTTTTTCTACCATTTTGTTCGCAGTGCTTAGATAAGGTGTACATTATCTAAAGACTTAGCTAATAGTTCACTCAAAGACTTATATAACTTTATAAAAACTTTAAGGGATACAATTTTCAAAAGCAAATTAGATTGATAAAATAAATCCAAAGGCAGTGAGAAAATTGTCTTAAGTTTATATTTGTATTTGCTATAACGTATAGAATTGTGGAGTTTTGATGATAATAATAAAAATAAAATAAAAACTTGATTGTGATGCTTTACTAAGCATAATCTTGAAATAACTAAAGGAGGAAGGCCAACAGAATTAATGGTCAGTGCTTCTACTGAATAAATCAAAGATACTTAATTTCTTACCATCTTTAAAATGTTTCATGACAAGGTAGTTTAATAAATTTCTGCATAAAATGTTATCTATCAAAAGTTGCTACAATAAAAGCAATCCCATTAGTGTATTAGTGGTGTGAGGGTACACACAAGCCAACACTTCTACAATGTGAACTTATCAGTCCTGATAGCTAGTCACTATTTACACTGAAGCTATGACCTTGGCACCGTGAAAAGAAATACAGATAAATGTGTAATCTCATAGCATGACTTAGTAAAAACAGTGTTCGGTACAGAAGATTAGCTCTTAATCTCTAGACACAAACAACTATTTATCACCAAAAATTTATCTGAAAGGCCCATTTGACTGGATTTAGCAAAAATTCACTGTTACTCTTTTGAAATTCCTACAAATCAGAGGTTTAACAATAGAGCAGGGCTGTGGTTCTGAGGCTTCTCAGCGCTCACTCAATATACGAAACAGCTAGGAATTGCCCCCAGTGATGGGGAGCAGTTTCATCAAAAGGCTCCAGTACTTATTTTCTTCATGAGCAATTGAAAACAGATTCATGGTGACCGAAGCAAATATTAGGAGTCAGAATCATTCACTCCGGAAGCTGGCCGAACAGCCACGTTTACACTGCCATTGGGACTTCAGTTTCGGGGACCCTGCTCTGCTTCTGGAAGGGTGATTATAGTTTGAAGGATTCCTTCTCCAAGGCACCTGACATCTGACAGTTTATTGCAAATTTCTACTGTTTAGGCCAGTGACATACAGATTATAATAAGAACTCAAAGAAAAAGCAAATAAATACCAGTCTAAAACTGTAATTTTATGAAAAGCTTTATCAAGGGATGTTCCTGTGTTGTTATTTATGGTTATTTTAGAAGGCCTCAAAACCTGGATGGCTTTTGAAGCCAGACATTTCCATAGCAGAGGAATCCATGATTCGCTGTGAGTCCTTTCAGTCCTCGATAGATGGGAAGAGATTGAAATGCTCTGGAGAGGAGGCCTCTTTATTTTTTTAATGAAAGGCTGTATAATATATTTTCTCTATGGCTGCAGCAGCTGTCAGAGAAAGCACTGTGGTTCAGCTCTATTACTGGAGAGGCAATACCCCATCCTATGGTACAGAGATGCTCGGAGGGGCCAGAGCTGATTGACAGCTTGTCACCATGACGTCTTATTCCATCTCTGTTATGGAGAAAATTAATGTCACACCACCCGCCTTATGACTTGCTGTCATCTTAGAACTGCTCACCTTTTATCAATGCTCTAAATAACATTTCAAGCCCATCGTCTCACGGTGGACAATCCGGTCAAGGGACATTAAATCAGATGACTGTGAAATGTCATAATAAAAATGGAATGCTAACAACTTCTTCTCTAAACTAGCTCCTCTGGTTTTTAAACTGTGACAAGGAGGAGCAGGGGTTCAGCAAACCCGTTCTGAAAAGGTCAAATAGCAGCTCTTGGACTACTACCCATTACTACCCGTCCCTACTGACCTTCCCTCTGCCTCCCCCCAAGAAGAAAAGAACAGGGAAATGGAATTAGCCACCTTTTCAGAAAGTGGTGATCAAACAGTGGTTTACTCAAGAATGTCTGTTTAATTTGTGGGATTTCATTGCTGAACAATGAAATTCTCTAGGGCTGCTTCATATCAGAGTGAGGCAATTCATTCCTTCACCCACCCTGCCCAGCACCACACCTAAACCAAATCAAATTCTTAAGTTTAACTTCCACTTTAAACACACACACACACACACACACACACACACACACACACAATGTGTGCATTTGAAAAGGAGAACACAGTAATAATCTGATGACCAGCGATCTTCTTTACATGTTTCATCAAATCAAGTTGCATATTAGACATTACAGAAAATTCATTCACTTCATAATACACACAGTGTAAAATACATTAAGGCCTCCAAGACATTTATCTTTGTCCTTCTACTGTTGTGAGTTAACACAAATATAGCATGTCCCCAGTTCTGCATTACCGCTTCTCAGCGAGTGTGTCTAGAGAGGGAGAATGACAGCAGGGCTTCAAACTTGGGGTTACAGAAAAGCACATTTCAACATGATTCACCTTTCAATGCATTGGGCAGAATACAGCCTGAGAAGTAGCTGAGATGCCAAACATAACATTTTACATTTAAGCGAAATAACTGGCATTTTGGAAAAGATGGAAAACAAAATATTCGTATTCTAAATGGGACTAGCTGACTAAAGAAACTATTCAACGGCAGCCAAAAAAAAAATCAATCAATAATAGCTGGATTACTTCTAATTATGTGGACAGTAGTATCATCTTCATACATAGGATAATATTAAAATGGTGATCTAGTAACTACAGAATGTTAATGCCCAGATGAATTTTCAAGTTAATATACCAATTAATTCCTTTCTGGTAGTTTTAATGCAGAAAGATCATTTCCAGTAACTAGAGAATATAATTTTAGTGAAATAATTATGTGAAATAATTTTCATAATTGTAATTATATATTAGAAGATACTACACAATAACTTAGGCTCTTGGGTGGTTTTAGCCTTGCTAAGTCACCTCTATTAAACTGTTTATGATAATAGTATTGGTGGATGAGTTCTACAAGCATTAGCAGACAGCTGATTCAGTGCAGATAGTGAGAATAAATTTGCTGAGGCGCACATTCTGGTAATCTGTTTGAAGAATACTGTAGAGCATTCATACGGGCACTTCATGTCAGCTGCACAACCTGATAAGGTGCATCTTTATTAAATTCAGTTACTGAAAGGGTGTCCGTCAGCAAATAGGAATGGTTTTTAAAAAGCCATTCTTTGTTGGTCGGAGCTCGGTTTCATGGCTGAGTGTCTCGAGGAGACGTCTAAACACCTGGCAGCACTGTACAATACAAGCTTTGTGATTTGAAGTGGGAAAGCCTTCCCCTAGTTTCATCAGTACCAAGGCCGTTACTTTTCCAAGCCGCCATCCAGAGACAAAGGTAGAACAAGAGCTCCCCTCTCTGTTGATTCAAGAGAACTACAAGATGCGAAATGCACCCTGAAAGTTGCTGGGAAACAGGAAGATTCGACATTTAAAGGGCATAAAATTTGAAGATGGTGACTTTATTGGCACTCCATCCCACACCAAACCCCACCCACACTCGGGCAGAATGACTGCCTTTCACTTTCATACTGACATGAGACTTTTCCGAGCTGTAAACATCACTTTGGATGTTCTCTAGCTCCCAGCTTCTTAGGATGCTAATAACATTATTTTAGATTTAGTTCCTTTATGGAAAATTTCTCTATATGATAAAAATCACAAGGCAGAACCTTAGAATACAGAATGTGCTCTGAAATGCATCCTGCAGATTTCATCTATGTCAAACTATAGACATCAGTGGGGGCTGCATGGCAGCTCCCAGGGCCTACCCTCTGCTCCTCAAAACCTCCTCTGAAAGCCACTTGTCTTTCTGGGAACACTGTGCACAACCTCATCTGGTGACACGTGGGTCAGGAAGGAAGCTCATTGCATACGTACATATCTTTTTAAGATCTCTCCCCGCTCCTTCTGGTCCTCCAGGGAGTGGACAGAGAGGTCGGAGATACTGACTGTGGCCGAGGCTGTCAGAGTGACAAGCAGAACCAGGTGGCCCTCACCCTCTTCCAGCTGTAACTCCAGCTTGTGGGTTTGCTCCCTACTGAGAGACGACAGGTCAACCTGGCACCTAGAAACAAATGTTTTGAATTAGCAAACGGCATTCTCACCACATCAAACAGATAGGGTTTGCTGGAGACCTGTGAACGTTAAAGAAATAGAAAACCATCTGGGACAGTGTGAGATCAACTGCTCTCTTCACAAAACTCAGGCCCTGGAGATCATAGAACTTTTAATTGCTTGTTTCCTGTAAGATAGACACTCAGGGAGAGTTGTGCTATTATCTCCTCTGGTACCGTACTCATGAGTTGGTGCTCAGACCTATTCAGGCTGGAGCAAACTACCAAGAGTGGAGTTTCCCTGTCACTGTTGCCATTATGCGATTCCTCCTCCCAGTTTATAAACGTCACTGAATAGCAGCTAACATTCACTGTGCAGAGGTTAAGTTTTACGTTTTTAAACTTATACGCACAGTGCACTCGCTAAAACAAAATGTTTTAGTGGCAAATCCTGCTGCATGTGCCTCTCCTACAGGCCAAACACCTGCACTCTTTTCCTAAAAATGTGAGTTGATTTCGAGGAGGAGATAATACAGTGACGATCAGGCTAATAACCCGGGCGGGGGAAGAGGGGACAGGGATAAGGAAAATAAAAAACATTTCAAATAGGAGGTGGGTTGATAAAATGGCTCAGTGGGGCTGATGTTGGTGTTTTGGACATCTGAGTTTCAACTCTGGGACCCACATGGTGGAAGGAGAGAACCAATTCCCACAAATTCCACTCGTGTGCTGTGGCAGGCATACACACACACACACACGCGCACGCACACGCACACACACACACACACACACTCACACAAAATGTGATGATTGAGAAATAGCCAATTACCAAAGTAAACGTTCTCAATACATCGCAAATGAGATGGGCATGTACAAGGGAAAGATTCATTCTTGCTCCCTTTAATTCTGCACTCCACCATCTGTTGCTTGGTTTCGAAGCTGTTTTTAAATAACAGCATAACAGTATAACAGTATCTAAAGTGTTCAAAGATTGTACCTGAATTCAAACATCTTTCTTATGAGACTTTACAAAATGAATCAAAGAGTGACATTTCCTTTTATTTTGTGCACAGCATTAACAATGACTATGACTAGACACAGAGGGTGTGCTAAAGCCTATTATTAAGGGAGTTAGAAACCAGTCTGTACAACTCTGGAATACACCTTTCCAAATGCTAGAATAGATACCAGAAACCTTACTGACTCTGTTAATACAACATTCAATTCAAAATACTATCACTAATTCTCCTCAATGCTAAAAAATTAAAATAAAAATCCCACACAATATCAAATGCTTTATCTAACATTCTGATTGTAATTAGAATCAAGTTCTCAATAACAACTGGAGTAAACTAAAAGTTAAAACACATTGAGGAAAAACAACTAGTCAAAAGCAATCTCTAATGAAAGGAGGAACACGAACATGGTTTTAGAGAACTCTCCAGCTCTGGCACAGTGCCTGGCCCACAGTGTCTGGCCTCACTGGTTGTGACTACCTCTCCAGCTTGGGTCAGGAGTGTAATACTAGGTAACCCAATAGGGATTGTGATCCAGACAGAATATTGGCTGGTAGGGTTGGGACCATGAGGGACTTTTCATTCACTTTGTTCCTTTCTGCAGCCCATCCCCAGCTCAGTTTGATCACGTCTTTCCCAGGCCCTTCCTTCCATTAGCCTTGTATAGTGTGCTGTATTGTCATACAAAGAAGAGCACTGGAATACACTCAAGCCTCCTGGTCGCTTCCCTTTCAAGCTCATGACCACTTTGCACAGGCTGTGTTGATGCTTCGTTTTCCTTTTAGAGTCTTCACAGGGAATGCTTCAGAGCTGGGAAAGTGCTCTCAAGATACTTCCTCTGGAAAGTGCAAACTGGCAACTTTCAGAAGGAATCACAGCCACAGGTTTATTGCTTGATTGGGTGTGTGTGCACACGTGCATGTGTGTGCATGTTTGTGCACGTGCATGCGATTGTGTGTGTGTTGTGCCAATAAAATTTCAATTCTAAATACAATAATTTTGAATAAGTTACAATAAGAATTTGTTAGTCCTGCAATCTGCTACATGCAATGAAAAACTGAGGAGCAGGGAGGTCAAATGATCTGAGTGAACATACACAGTCGTGACCAGAGTCAGAGCCTGTACCTGGGCCTCTGAAATGGAAGGCCTAAGCATATTGCTCTCCAAGACTCACTGAGAAACAGCATTCTTGGAGAAAAGAGTGCAGTTAGCAATGGTTCGCAGAGATGGTCAGACGTTTCAGTTACCGGAAGCATCTTCTTTTCCACGTATAGAATTGTTTTGTTTTTATTTCAATGTTTTAAACTACATATACATTAGGAAATTAGCTGTGCTTGTTCTTATAGGACAAGAATACTTCACAAATTCAGATTTAAAAGCTATGATACTAGTAAAATTTAAACAGGATAAACTTACAGAAATGTCACCTCGTCAATGAAAACTTCATGGCTCACAGGAAGAGCCATGTGTACTGCAGCATCTTGACTATCCTAATATTAATGTAGAGGACAATAATATGCTGGATGTGGGAGTGCTAAATGTTAAAATGTGGGAGTTTTCATTCAACTGTGGCCACTCAGACATCTTATTTATCTAAAATTCTGCTCAGGAATAAGAAGCTGTTTTAAATGTCAGTTTTGCCGTGACTTCGCCAAACTGTCTTGTTAATTTGAAGATAAAGTTTGCATCACACCTTCATTGCTGAGTATCAAATCAAGTGACTGCTGGGATAAATGTAGAAAAAGAATTTTCCATTCCCTGTTAGCTTTTGAACAAATATGTACAAAGACCCTTGTGGCATAGTCTACTGCCCTGCGAATACAGTGCTAATTGGTGTGGGATGAAGGGCTTGTATGTGGCTCACCTGGACTGGTAAATCCCTCACAAAGGAAGGATTCATCACAGATGAACTATAGAAGTAAGAGATTATCCAGGGGATCTACGCATACAGAATGCTTTTTAAATATGAAAATGCAAAATTATTTTTTAAAAAGCAGTAATGTAAATTCATGAACTCCAGAAATACTTGGCAGAGATGAAGAACCCAGAGTCATTTTCTAATTGCAGGACTCTGTCTCCACTAATTAGCTGTGTGACCTTTTCCAAGACAACTTTCCCACCTGAATTTCACTTTTCTCATCAGCAGTTATGAGATAATTGAACTAGATGAACTCTGAGTTTTCAGAATCCCCAGTTTCACAATTTGTGATAACTCTATCCATGTTTACACTTGTGTCTTTCTTTCTTTGCAATTCTACAAACTAAAAACCTAAAAGAGTGAGTTTATCTTATAAGTAATGAAATATTATTCCTTATTCATCTTATAAAACAAAACAAAGCAAACGACTCTTGAAAGTCCGTGTAAAAAGAAACCTATATAATTTAACTTTGTGCTGTATTGCAAGCAATATCACGCTGTGCCTCCAATATCAGCATGAAGGATGTCAAAAGAAGGCACTGTGGACCCTTCTCTTTGGCTCAAAAATAGTTCTCTTTGCATGTGCTTTCTAGCAGGAATCTACACTTATGGTTTAAACGTTTATTTAAAGTATCTTCTTATTTCCCTGGATTCCCCAGGATCCTTGCTATCCAGGAGCTGAACCACTTGCTTTGATTAAGATGTGTCTTTGATTTTGTTCTGCCCTTTACACCAGCACCCTCACTGATCACTGTACCCGAGTCCTAATAGCTCCTCTTCACACCAGCACTCTCACTGGTCACTGTACCCGAGTCCTCACAGGTCCTTTTCACACCAGCACTCTCACTGGTCACTGTACCTGAGTCCTCATAGGTGCTTTTCACACCAGCACCCTCACTGGTCACTGTACCCAAGTCCTCACAGGTCCTCTTCACACCAGCTGTCATCCTTCACTTGCTTAAATAGACTGGGTCCTCTCCTCGGCCACCACTGTATGTTCAGGTCCAGCATCCACATGCCTGACTTTGTGACTTCTAAGGCCACTTCCGCATTTGCATGCAAAGCCACACTGTAGGATGCAATGTTGCTCTCAGAACCTGTCAGTGGACCCCATGAAACAATGCAGAGGTTGATTTCCTGCGGAGTGAACTTTGAACAGGAAGTGGGAAGATACCTGCTAATATCTCCTTCCCTCTGACTATTCCTAACTACGATCTGATCTTATTGCTTGACTGCAGACAGCTGATGGAGGAAGGTCATTGGTTAAAAAATAAAGAAACTGCTTGGCCCTCATAGGTTAAAACATAGTTGGGAGGAGTAAAGAGAAAAGAATGCTGGGAGGAAGAAGAAGTGAGCTCAGAGGCCATGCTCCCCTCTCCTGGGCAGACACAATCAATGAAGCTCCGACCCAGGATGGATGTAGGCTAGAATCTTCCCGGTAAGCGCACCTTGGGGTGCTACACACATTATTAGAAATGGGCTAGTCCAGGTGCGAGAGTTAGCTGAGAAGAGGCTAGATATAATGGGCCAAGCAGTGTTTAAGTGAATACAATTTGTGTGTTATTATTTCGGGTAAAGCTAGCCTGTGGCTGGAGCCGGGTGGCAGAATGCAACCCGCAGCTCCCTTAACAGACAGCCTTGACCTACACCTGCTAAGCAGCCTTTCCTTGATACACAGAAAACCGTGAACAAATTGGCAGCATATTATGTTGTGTTGTGTGCCAGGGCTCCCCCTTCTTCATCTCATATCTTACTTTAAGGAAATATACCTTCCAGTAAAACAGCAACACCCAATTTTTGCCTCCGAGTTTGTTTCTAGAGAACCCAGGCTAAGGTGAAAGGTGTTGACACAGTTTATCCACACTCCCAGTCTGGGATGTTCAAAACTTGACTTAACTATGTCCCCGCTTCCCTTTCCCTGAGAAATATACCCAGCAACCCGACAAGACCCTCACTAAACCATTATCAGCCTGTGTGTGACTTGTCTGTGCCATATCCTGTGACTCCAGGCTGCCCCTAACTCTCACCAGCTTCTGGGGGTTTGGATGAGACCTCCTCCCTGCCTGAGACCATAGTC